GGAAATCCTATGAATAAAACTATAACTCCTAAGGCATCAACATCTGGTCTCCTCTCATTAAATGGATTAATTAATGGCACATCCACTAATAAAGATAATACAGATAATTCAGAAACAAATTTACAACTATCAACAAATAAGAATACTGGACTTATATCACTCAATACCACTCAAAAGACTACAAATTTTATTGGGCCACAATTACCACAAAAATTACAAGATAAATCTCAACCAAGATTAATTATGCATATTAAAAATGGAAAAATTTTGAATGGAAATAGCTTAGTTCCTTACGATGGATCTAGTGAAGAAGAGGATGTTAATTCTATTGGAACACTAAAAAATCACATTCAATCAAATTCAAGTACTCCAACAAAAACAAATACTTCTGCTTGTGCTACTAATGGTACACAAAAATGTTCTCCAGCAAAAAATAGTGCAACTAAAGTAATTCTTACTTCTAAAGAAGTGCAAAAATTCATGTCAAAGACAAATGGCAGTAGTGTATCTCAGAGTCAAACAAATGCAACACAATGTACAAAAACACAAAATGGCTCTAGCTGTAGTACCATAACGAGTACAATAAAATATCAAAATGGTAAATCAGAAACAAATGGTAAGACAGAAAATGGGGGTAATAATAGCAAAAGTAATAAGTGGCACCAGTCTGTTAGAGTGAAATCAGGACAAGATGATAAGATAGTCACAAAAGCTACAAGTAGTAGTATGAAAGGCTGGCAAGTTTCAAAAGATACATCATTCTCTCCTACATCAAATGCAGCACCCAATGGATGGTCAGTGACTGATAAGTATGTTGTATTTTATTACATTAACTTAGTATTTTATCATACTAAATATGTAATATAATTCTGACAAATTCAATTGACTAATTTTATATACTATTCGTTCGAGAAGAGATGACACAACGTGTTTACATCTTCACGGCTGACTGACTCCGCTGACACTCCCACGATCACAAGCAATGTAACCACTATTAGCCGAAGACGGTGGACGAAGATCATCGGCGGGCCGTAGCGAGACCGAGTGAGATAGGATATGACAGCATAGTCTTTGAAGCTATTAAGAAACAGAAAACTAACGCCGATGCTGTCATATCCTATCTCACTCGATCTCGCTACAGCCCACCGATGATCTTCGTCACCGTTTTCGACTAATAGCGGTTACACTGCCTGTGATCGAGGGAGTGTCAGCAGAGTCAATCAGCCGTGAGCATGTAAACACGCTGTGCCTGCCATCTCTTCTCGAACGCACAGTATGTACATATATATATATATTTAATAATTATTTATGTTTACATAGGGAAGATGTTCATAAAATTAGTCAGAATAATACCACACCCAGTGCTGCAGCTTTAAGAGACTTTAATGGAACGAATCGTTCCGATACAGTTTCCCATTTACTAAAGATGTCCCATCGTGGCTATGGCAGTTCTTCGGGTCAGTACAACAAAAGAATTCTATTGAAGAACCCATTGAATCCAGCCTCCCAATCAATCCAAAAATCCTCACCAACCTATTGTGCATCCATGCGTCCTAAATCCAAAAATTCTACATAAAATAATAGAACAAATATACAAGAAATGAAAAGTCTTATTCACTCAAACATTCTAAAACAAAAAATCCTGTTTATAATTTTAACAAAAAATTAATACTTTTAATACTTTAGGTTTATATGTCTTTCAGTGATATATCATGAATATTACAAAACATAACATTTTGAACTTTTGTTAATTGTTAAATTGGAAATATTCTCGTTGTTGTGCCTTTGTTAAGTCCGTAACAATAAACTATATAGTTTGTGATTTAGTAAAAAAAATTATACAAAGTGTTACGGTAATACTATTAAATGACAAAATATTAAAAACTGTGTATAAATATCTTTATTTTAACAGATTAACCGCATAATAAAATCATTTTCTTATGAAATGAACTCTAGATTTATAATAAAATATGCTTGTTTTTTACAGTTACAAATTGGAATGGTAACAGAACACACTTAGACAGAGAAGTTGATAATGATAGAAGAGAAGAACGTAAACGCCATTTTAATACAGATGACGAAGAAATTGATCGCGGTCGAGCAAAGAAAGTAAAAAATCATCGGACGTATGAAGAAAGGAGTAACTCGGGATATAATCCTTTCCAGGAATATCAAAATGGCAAAACGTGGAACCGATCTCTTGGTGGTTATTACCGGAGACATTATTATAATACTTCTAATAATGTACGACCGCGACATGGTAGAAATTATAGGCCTCCGCATTACAGATACCATAATCATTCTCGTGCACATTGGCAACGAGGATAAAGAGAAAAGAAAAGACAAGTTGTTGAGAAAAAGTTTCGAAAGCAATCTGGAGTCAAAAAACTTCGTTAGTTTTCAATTGCTAAAGCAAATTATAATTTTTCAGTACGTTACAATTAAAATACAGGTGTCGCAGATTTAGATAATTAATGTTGGATATAATTGTTCAACATTTATTGTAATGAATCGCTAAACTGCATCGTAACAACTTTGCATGTTCCTGACAGAGTTTTCATGTACTCTATCGTTGCTTGTAGCTCATAAATGTCTACGGACATTGAACTACACAGTACACGAGGGATGAGTATCATAGCTCTGCCAATCTTGTGTTCAGTATGAACGTGCGTTGTTAATTTAGAGTGCGTATTAAAGAAACATGTATGGATGCGATGTTTAAAAGTTTCAATATATCGCTAAGAGTTTGACAACTTTTTAGATAAATTTTTTATAGTCTTTAGTTATGATCATAAACTTATTTTCTTGTTATTTAATTTGAATTACATAATTATAAAGCAATTTAACGTTTATATTATACGGTAATACAAAAAGTTTTAACAAGTCTTTTATACTAATCTTATGTTACATGTATTACATTGATGCTATTGTTGAATTAAAATTATAAACGCGATATTTGTCGAATATCTTTACTCAGTAGATATTCGTTATTTATAGAACTTGATAAGTGTCCATACATTCTCAAGCAAAATAAAAAGAAAAAAAAATGCATGCGATTATCAAAAAATAAAATTATACGTAAAAATAAATTAGTTTTAGTATTATAAGGATAACATTAAGCGAAAAGAAATATTTTGAAAATTTTATGTTAAAGTATATCTTTCATTTTTTTGTAATATAATAATCCGTCCTTTGTTTTAATTAACAAAGATACTCCTCCCTCTTCAAACTGTAACACAAAAATTCAATTAAGTAGTCAATCTTACTCGATCAAGAAAACAATTTTCATCATCACTTATTGAGGAAAATATATTCATAATAACTACGATGATTTAACAGTAAACGGTAGATTTCTCTTCAAACATGATGAATGTGCATACCTGTGAACATACGTGAGTTCAATTCTCTTTTTTTAATATAATATAAATATAAATATATATAATAAATATATATATATAAATATATGCGCATAAAAATAAT